TTAGGGACATATTGGAGCGCAAGACTCACTTTCTTGCCATAAGACGCAATACCCCCTCTATAAGATTTATTCACATTGGAATGTACCTCTTTAGTGATAGTTTTGGCTTCACCAGTAGTCACCTCTGCTCTTTTAGTTGTGGGCTCGTCATTCTTGCTTTTGATGCCATCATTAGCTTTTAGCTCCTTCACAATGCAGTTTTTCAAGTAGAACTTTGCATCGGCGAAGTGTGACTCAGCCTCGGTGAATGGCTCATCATTAGCAACTATATTCTTCTCAACTTCACCCTCGTAGTATTTTAGACATTGATGGTAGGTAGATGGAAATACTTTATTCTCATGTATCCAAGGCCTTCCAAGCAAGACATTGTATGAATTCTTTGCATTGATCACATGTAACCATGCACTTCATTGCATATCTTCAATGGTGATTTCCAGCCTGATCACGCCTATGGCTCTTTGCCCCCCTTGGTTGAATCCTTGGATCATCACATGACTTTTCGAGAGTTCGTTCATAGGAATACCAAGTTCTTTCACAGTGCGAATTGGCAAAATGTTCACTGAGGATCCTCCATCAACCAAAATTCGATTTACCCTTTCATCACACATATAGCCAACCAGGTACAATGGGCAGTTATGAAGAGTGTCACCTAGCAGAAGATCGTCATTTGTGAACGTGACCTTTTCCTCACAAGCACTAACTTCTTAAGGAGTGGACTCGATGAGATTTTCCAAAGATGGTGCCAATAGTAGGTCATCACTCTTTTCTTCCCCTTTATCAGCATTGCAACAAGAGGCTTCAATACCATTATAGGAAATCTTCATGCGGAACCAACATGGCAAGAAATCCTCCAAGGTCACTAGATGTCGTGGCTTTTGAGGGTGGTGCACCTCCACTTTTGCTTTCTTTACGTGCTTAACTAGATTCCATCTCCTCGGTCTTTTCACCATTATTTTCCTTGTTGGTTGTTCCATTGATCCTTTTCGTGGGATCCTTTTGTGGCACCTACGATGAGTCACCAATGTCCAACCTTCATCATCCTTAGGTTGATTGACTTCAACTTTGTTGTTCTCTAGTAATTCCTTATTTTTGATTCCTTTTAAATTGCATAACTCATCTAGACTGAATAAGCCAAAGGTGATAGAGACTTGGTTCGTGCTTGCTTTCTCATCTTCAAGCACGATCTTCTTTTCGCGATCCAAGTCCATAACTTTGTCCTTGAAGACAAAGCACTTCTCTAGATGTTGGCTTACAAGTTGGTGATATTTGCAGTAATTTGGGTCATTCGTTTACCCCACTTCATTTGGTCGCTTCATCTATGGAAGCTCAATGAGATTCAACTCGAGGAGTTCTTCGAAAATGGCTAGCACATCAGAATCTAGAAATGGGTACTCTTTCTCTTGCATTTATTTTAGAGTCAACTTTCCACTTGGCTTATCTTGAAAAGAAGTGGATTTCATACTCTGCTTCTTGCTCACCTTCGCCGTGAACTTCACAGGCGACGTGTTGACATTCATATCTTCTTTACTTTCAGACTTGGGTATGAACTTGCCCCACTTCCTGACTTCTTGCTTATCGTTGCCTTTGCGAGGCTCATAGATATGCAACCTTTCATTTTCGGCGGAGGCCATGCTCAACTCCATGTCATGTGCACGAGGCTCAAGTTCTTCAAATGTGCTAGGCTTGATACCTTGCAAGATGTAGCACAATCCCCAATGCATGCCTTGGATGCACATCTCTATGCCTGAAGCTTCACTAAGTCTGTCTTTGCAGTTGAGGCTTGCATTCCTCCAACGATTGATAAAGTCGATAACTGGTTCCCCCTTTCGTTGACGAGTATTTGTAAGTTCTATCATACTCACAGTATGTCCCGTACTATAAAAGCGATTGAGGAACTCTTGCTCTAGTTGATCCCATCTATCGATAGATCCAGCCTCGAGGTTTATGTACCAGTAAAAAGCATTTCCTTTTAGCGAGCGAACAAACTGCTTGATGAGGTAATCTCCATAAGTCCCAGCATTGTTGCATGTCTCCACAAAGTGCGACACATGTTTCTTTGAGTTACCTTTATCATCAAACTGTTGAAACTTTGGAGGTTGATAGCCAGCAGGCATCTTCAACATATCGACCCTTGCAGTGTACGACTTTGCATATATAAGGGAGGATTTAGCAGTAACTTCATATTTGTTCTTAATGGTTCCTTCAATGAACTCCTTTAGTTGATCGATTGGAATTATCTCTTCAGATGAGACAGGGATAGCATTAATGGATGTTACTTGTCTTGGGGGAGAGTCACTCTCTAGGACTTCTAGGAGTTTGCCGGGTACATGGGTGGATTCTTCTTCCATCAAGATTCCCACCCTGTCTGTTAACTTGTAAATTTAGCCTCTTGATTTTGCATGCATTTGGTCAAGCCAGCGATTGCTTCCGTCAAGTTTGGCAATTGCTCCTCCACAGATGAAGTATTTGTCACCATGGCTTGCATGATTGTTGTGGACGATGGAGAGTAGCATGGATTTTCACACAGATTGATCCTTGATTGCCTCACTCTATGTGGTATAAATGGGGAGGATCCATCACTTGAAGCATCATCATCTTCCTTCACAGGAGAGTGCTTGGATCCGGAGAGGTCAAGCATAGCAAGAGTTTTCTTGATCTTTTCAGCAACATCGCTTCCTCCTTCAGGTGTATTTATGGAAGATCTTGCTCCTTTTAAGGATGAAGGTCTGAAAACAGGGGTTGATGCGGATGACACTTGGGGTGCTTGTTCTCCTAAAGAGCTTGCTTTGCTCCTCGTAACTGGTCCGAAACTTCCAAAGGTAACATCAAGGATGCTTTCCACATCAGCATAAAACCTGGAGTTAGCAGCTTTGGTGGATGTTGATCTGTAGTTGATTTTCTTCAAAGTCATTTCAATGTTCTTGGACTTTGGAGATTGAAAAGCTGAGATGAGAGGTAAAGATTGTCCCATTGGGCGTGCCAGAATTTGTAGACAATAAATTATGTTGAGAAAATAAAATCAAGACCAAAAATATCGCAACAATAGTAGTATTTTATTTCAAATATTTGAGTGTTCAATCTCTATGAATCCTCTGATTCTTCTTTTCAATAGTAAATAAATTCAAGGGTCTTCTATGTTTGTTGCCACGAACAATGATCTTGTTCTTGAGCTTGAGCTTGATTGCTTGAACTTGACATTGATTCGTTCTTCGTTCTTGAGCTTGAACTTGATTTCTTGAAGTTAAACTTGATTGCTTGAAGCTTGAAACTTGTAGAGAAATTTGCGGCGTTTGATCCACGAGCTCTTTCTTGCTTCTTGTTATAACTTCTGATGTTTTTTCTGGGTTATGAAGACCCTATTTGTAGTTGTGGAAAGGAGGAGTTGTGATAAGAACAAACTCTTTCCGACCAATCAAATTGAAGTGTGACATGGCCGCATTTGATTGGCCAGAACATGTCACTTGCACGAGTGGCACGATTTCATTGGCCTTTTAGTGTGACTTGGCATGCCTTGCCATTTTAACACGTGGCATGATCCTATTGGCTCTTCCGTTTGACTTGGCACGCCACGTCATTTGACACGTGGCACCAAACTGGGCCTCTAAGAAGATGATATCTTGGGCTTAATGAAGTGGGCTCATCACTTTAGCCCAATTAAATGGGCTCGCCCAATGAATTAAGATTTATTTATTTAATCCATATATATTGGGCTTATATAATTAATTCATTTATATATTGGCCCATAATATTTATTTGGACCAATATATCTTGAATTTAAAATATAATCCAAATTCTTTATAGATTTAATTTTAATAAAATTTATATGCCTACAAGTCCTAATCTAAAATTAATTTTTTAGAGATAGTAAAAGTTTAAATTTTCTATTAGTCCTTAATTACGTCTTTTCTTTTCTTGGCATGATAATAGTGAAATGCCATAATGTTTATAAAGTATAAGTTTTATTGATCTTTTGATATGAACATCGAGTGTGGATAATTGTTTTCTTATTTTCATAACAATAGTAACATAATTACTATAATTTGTTAAATTTAAACTAAAAAATAACTCTTATATATTTTGTTCTATTAATTTAGTCGTAGATATGAATTCCATGGGGTCTAACTTTCACAATTTCCAATTTAGATTTCTCTTATATAGGTTCCAAGTGATTTATTTTTATTTCTTAAACAAAAATACTGAACTATGAAATCGAAATTGGTTATTTGTAGTGTAATCAAGAACATTTATATAGATTTTGAGTAAATTCCACCATATGTTGGTAGAAAATGTTATGAAAAACATGACATTAGTTATCCCATTAAATCGATATAGTTAAGGGTGCAACGAAAAAAGTATTATTGTTACGGAAATTGTGAATTTAAAAGTTAAAACAGAGAACAATATAGTAATTGCCCGTAAAGAAATATAAGTTCACCTTGCTCTTCAAATCAGTGTGAACAAAGGAAATAAGAATTAAACTATTCATCTTCTCAAATGAAACATGATATAGTAACCAGTGTTATCAAATGCGAAAAGCGCAAAAAACTCTAAGGTCTGTTGGAGCTTAAGCGCAAATAAAGCGTGGGCATTAGCACAAATAGAGAAAAAAACACAAATATGTATGTGCAGTCCAAGATTAATAATTATACACATGAATAAAAAATATATGGACAAAAATTGAAAAAAAGAATTACGATAAGTGAAATATCAATTTTTTGGTGTAGCCTCTTCAGGGTTACGCTCATTGGCAAGGAAAAGTATATCTTAGAGCCTTGATGTCGACACTGAAGCACCCTCTAAGCGAGGCGAAGCACTCAACATATTTTGCGCTTCGCTTCAGGGCTTAAGCTAGCTTTAAGCGTGCCTTTGCTGATAATAACCGAAAAGGATGAGTAACTAATTAAAGATACAAAATAGTTTATTTCATTGAGAGCCAATTAAATTGTAACAAGAAGCATCATAAATGAACAAGTCGAAAATACAAATTTGAATCTAGCGTAGAAAGCTAACATTCAAGATCTGAAATTTCTGATTTCTGCTCTTTGCATGGTATATAAAGTATGATTAAAGTTCTGGGATTGAAGTTCCAAATGAAACAGATTTTTCCTTTTCAGGAACTTTTCATGAAGAAAGAAAACACAATATTTAAGATGTAGTTTTACTCCCTCTATATATACTAAACTGAACCTCCACATTTAACAGGTATGAAAATGGCCCTGCAGAAGTGTATTGCTAATGTGAGAGCACGATCATTACGACAAGAAATATTTAAAGTTATGTTGTGTGTAAGAAACTTCTGGTTTTTCCAAAATGACAATTATTTTGCAAGTGAAAAGGTGAACATCAGTTTCTGATGGAGAGAATACATCCCAAAGGAAGAACAGTTCCAAGGCTTCTTTCATCCATCCATTTTGGCACAGCTTTCTTGCTTCGCGAACATTCATCTGCAATTGGTTTTTACCTGTCAGCAAAGGCAAAGACGTGATTTCATTTCACCAGACTACTATTCTGGTCTAAGAGAGGCGTCACATCATCTTTACTAATAATACCAGTATATAGATTTAAAAAGAATCGATTATTACATACCCAAGTTCTCTTGCGAATCTCTTTCTCAGGCCAAGAGTCTAGTTGTTCTGCTACAAACAAAGGAAACATATGCTCTTCATAGGCAATGCCACCGGCTTTAGGGCAAAGGGCTTCCAAACTTGCAAGTTACTTTCATTAGAATGTGACCTTTGTTTCCAATGTTACTAGAGTATGCGACAGCAGCAACTGGATTCATCGGTCACAGAGTCACGGTGTTCACTATTGTTATATCGGGTCCTCCTTATCCCAGTGGAATGTTCTGTTGGTTCATACATTTGTAACAAGGCCTCATCCTCAGGTTCTTCTTTATACAACAAACGAAGTCCATACTTATTCATTTCTCCAGTAAAAGATAGCCTAATAATCCCATAGTCATTTGGTGTTTTTCCATTTGCCTCAGATGTATCCCATAAGACAGTAAGAGGTACCAACAAAAAATGAATAGCAAATTCTGTATCCCTTTTTGAACTGTCGGATGATTCTGTATCACATTCTGAATGGTTGGATAAGGCAAGTTTCTGGGTGATGCACGTCATCCCGTCATCACATACGGGAATCAATTGAGCTGTGGTGTCAATTAAGCTGCCATTGTAACATACAGCAAATCCCAAGAATTTATCAGGTATATACCAATTTTCAGGCAAATTGACTGATACACTACTATCCCAACCCTGATGGTGGAACCAACTCGGGATCTTCTTCTTTGGATGCACAATGGTAAACACATTTTCGGACAAGGAATCTGAAGCAGAGATGTCATGCCTCAAGGAAGAGATTTTCTGAAACAGGGCATGCGCAAACAAATTATATATATAATCATTGTGTGCATCATCCTCATAATCAAATGACTCGAATATCACGCACTGTAGTTTCTTTCTCTTTGTTACAAAATCATTGATACTTTTCATAGCCGTATGACAATCTACATGCAATTCATTTAATTTTGGTGGAAGTTCTGGCAGCTGTGTAAGCCTCTTGCAATCTCTTAAGTGCAAGATTCGAAGAGCACCAAGTTGGGCTATGCTTCGAGGCAAATGCTCAAAATTATTTCCATTGAGATACAATTCTTTCAAAGACGATAAGGATCCAATGTCTTCCGGAAGTCCTCCATCTATTAGATTGCAGTCACTGAGATTCAGATGTACCAATGACTGTAATCCTTCAGCCACTACTGGAGGGAACTCAAAGTGCACTCCATCTCTCTCTCCAAACTTCAAGATTTTAAGTTTGTTCAAGCATACAATGGTAGACGGAGGTCGTGAAATTAGAGTACCTCTAGCATCAAGCTCCTCCAAGTTTTCTAAACCCCCTATCTCTTCTGGCAAGCTTTCAAGTTTTGAGCAATGAGACACATTTAGATTAACCAAACTTTTCAACCTACCGATGCTGCTTGGAAGAGCTACAAGATTTTTCATATAGCTCAAATCTAGCTCGGTAATATGAGTTTGGTACTGAAAATAAGAGGATGGTAGTTCCCTTATGCCAATCTCCAACTCCGGCTTTATTCTTCCGAGGAATTCTGGAAATTTCTCTAACCGAGAGCACTCTCTTACACTCAGATATTTAAGAGATTCCATGTTAATACATGGAAATCTCTTAAGGTTTTCACAATACATCAAATTTAACCGAATGAGTTTGCTGCAACATCCCAGGGAATGGTGAACCTCTTCAAGATTACTACATTTTTTCAGATTCAAATATTCCAAATTTGGCATCCCCGTGAAATTTGGTGTTCGCATCAGGCTTTCGGAGAAGCTGAGATCTATCCTCCGTAGAGACCGGAAATGCTGTTTAGAACACAGACATAATGAGAAAAAAAGAAGAACCTATTTTGCTGCTCCAATAATAAAATATTTGATTAGTGGGGCTATCTATGACCTCTGTTTTAACTATAGCATTTGAATTATGAGGGCCAACACATTATTTTTGTGGAAATTACTTGTTAAGAAACTGAATAAAAGTAAATTATAAATAAAATTTTTGCTAATTGTAATTTAACATGATTGAAAAAAATTGTAGCAAAGAGAAAAATGTTTCTCTTTAAAAAAGTGTAATATAAGATGGAAAACCCAAATGTTAAATCCAGAAGTAATGTATGAAAGCGTATATGTCATTCGAGAAAATAGTTGTATCCAATAAATTCCTTTTGTTTTATTAATAAGATTCCTTCCGTCCCACTGTGTACACAATAAATTCCTTTTGTTTTATTCATATGAATCTAATCTTACTATGAGAAATAATTGAAGGAGATTTTAAATTGAGCTTCTTAGTTAATATGATGATGGGAAGATTTGGAGAAAAAAGACATGAAGATCTTACAATAATATTGAGAACAACCCCAAATAATAAAAAATTAATTTTTTTGAGATGGAAATACAATTATTTGAGCTTATGGAATTAATAACCTTTGTTCGTTTAAAGACATGCATCATAATTGTAGCAAAAATAGAAAATACCTCAAATAATACGTGATAAAAGCAATAATCTTTGTTCATTATCACTAAATTAAAGGACAAAGATAGTTAGAGAGAAAAATAAATGGCAAATTGGCAATCAAATGGAATTCAAACTATTAATAAATGGCAAATTGGCAATTAAATGGAATTCAAACTATTGTACCTTTGTTTCCATCCATAAATAACGCAGTGAACTGCTCCAGAGTTCAAGGTGAACAAGCATTTTGGGTTCAAAATTTTCTGGCAGTGACTTCCAAGGATAGTAAGACCAGACAAAACAACGCAAGCTATTGGGCAAATACTCAATGGCATCACGGGTCGACGACCTCTCTATGTTAAATATCCTCAGCCTTTTCATATTTTTCATGGCCTCATTGCTAAAGCGTACTGTACAAGAATAAGAAGAAACCCAGATTGCTTCCATTGCCATGGTCCCCTGGTAAGAAGATCATGAGTCTACAAAGTATAATTTCAAATGTTGCATAAAATCCTCTTGCTAATATGACTATTTTCTCACTCCTTGCAATGCCAAAGTGTAAGATACAATATTAATTAGATTCCTTTTAAGAAATGCTGATGTTACTTGAGAAAAATACTTTTTGCAATTAATTATATAATTTTATTTTCTATTATTAGATTTTTCTTTGAAGTTCATTAGAGTCAAGTCGATAAGCTTTCCATGTTGGAAAGTAATTGTAATTGAAACAGTACCAATAAATTGTAACTTTCCATTAAAAACAATAATGGTGTGAATCTCTGATTGAGTTATTATGTAATAAAATGTCATAAAATTTCAAGTTAATCCAAAGAATGATACTGGATCAAATAGATTAAGTGGCTACTAGACTAATCCATCGCTTAAGAATATAAGAAAAATGAATTAGGCAATGTAAATTAAAGAGTCTACTTAACGAATTAAGCAATTAATGTCTTTTTTTTTTTACTAATTAGGCAATTAATATTACTTTTGCTTCTCCTACTAACTAAAGGGAACAACTAAAATGCCGCACCTGCAAGAGTATGAAGCACGATGAACAAAAAATTGGAATTGACTGCCCTATATATGTGTCTTTGGAATATAAACATTAGAAATTAAATATTATTGCATTGTTTAGCCTACTTACTGTATTGTTGATCATCACTTCTTCGAAATCCTCGACGAGCCATAGTCTGCTGCGTTCTCCGGGATCTTTTTGAAAATTTACTATATATTTACCCATATCTTCTATAAAGTCATGCATTTGAATCTCACCTTTCTCAGAGATGGACACAAGAGATTTGTCAATTAAGACACGCAATCCGTATTCAATTCCAGAATGACAACTCTCAAGAATTTGCATGGCGTAACCTTTAGATCTCCCTCGAAAGAAGCATGCTATATCTAGAAACATCTTTTGTTGGATGGGCTCCAATCCATCGTAACTTATTTTGAGCTTTTCAACAATTTTCGAATTAGAATTAATTTTCATGTGCTCTATAGCACTTTTCCATTCAGTTAAGCCTAGATTATGCAACAAAGAACCCCACACTTTGAGGGCTAAAGGAAGGCCTTTAGCATAATTTACGACCTCCAATGAGAGCTCCTTAAAACACTCATCTAGATCTTCTTTTCTGAAAGCATGTTGACTGAACAATTGCATAGCTTCCTGGTCAGCTAGTCTAGTCACTTCATAAATTACATCATTCTTCCCTATCAAATGCTTGTTTCTAGTTGTTACAACAATCCTACTACCCTTACCAAACCAACCAAGATCACCTGCTAAATACTCCAAATAATGATCTTTATCATCTATGTCATCAAGCACAATTAGGACCTTCTTAGAACATAGTCTACTAGCCATTTGGTGCTTTCCGTCCTCCTTATTATTGTACTCAGCTTTTTTCCTTAACAGTTTAGAGAGAAGGGTATTTTGCAGAGAATGTATTCTACCTTTGTTTTCTTTAATATCCTCAAGGAAACAAGCACCATCAAATTGATAGGAACTATCCCTTCTTACTAAGAGAGTATCAAACATCGCTCTTGCTATTGTCGTTTTACCGACTCCACCCATTCCCCAGATTCCCACAATCCGAACATCATTGATTCCTATCTCTAGTAAGGATTCTATTTCCTCTAAATGAGTATTTATTCCAACAATGTTTTGCAGATAAGATAAAGAAATCTTGCATAATTTGGATGAGATTTGGTCAACAATTTGCCGAATACAGTCTGCATCAGTCCTACAAAAGTAAGAAGACTGTGATATATACAAGGAGTGTGGACATAAATCAAACTCTTTGAAGAACTGGTTAAAATTTTATCTACGTAACAATGTTATTGAGTTTGTAATTAAATTGATAGAAACATATATAATCACCTATCATTACTTATTCCGAAAAATTGAAATATTTAGTTAAGATTATGTTTAACTGATCATTTGAATGCAAAGTATTCAGCTTATGTGTTTTTAACTCACTTGTCACGATTATCACATGAGCCTTTGAGATTGGCCGCTGCAGTTAAAGCAATCCTCCATCTTTTTATTCCCTCAACATCATCCTTATACTTTGTTTCATGTTCTTCAAAGGCTTTTGCAAAGCTCTCCTTTTGGTTCCGAATATGTGATGGATCCACATCATAGAATATCGGTATAACAGTTTGTCTAAATTGAGTCTTGCATTCCATGATCTCCACTAGTTCATTCAAACACCACCTCGATGTTGCATAATTCTTTGAGAAAATGACGATAGCAAATTGAGACTCTTCTATAGCTTTACAGAGTTCTTCTGGGATGGTTGCACCGTACTCTAGCCTTTTATCATCTTGAAAGGTTTTTATTCCCCTATCATTCAAGACTTCGTATAAGTGACTTGTAAATGTTTTCCGAGTATCTTCACCTCTAAAACTTAGGAAAACATCATAGCTCCATCTTGAAGAAGAAGAAGATGCCATGGACTCAGTGTTAAGTCTCTGAAAAGAGTAAGAAAACTGTATGCGATTGTGATTATAGTAAGAGAACAATAGATAATATTTTCAAACAAAGTTATATATAGGTTAGAAGAAATAAGAAATAATGCTATAGAAGAAATTATTGGTACTGAGTTTTCTTTGAACTTTAATAGAAGGATGTAGGACTTGAGCCCTCAGGGGTTGGCCTTACAATTGACTTGAACCTTGGGATTTGCTCCTTTTCAAGGTCTCAAATTTGAAACTCATTGGGTGCAAACAATTTCTGAGGGCCATCGGACTGGATAAAACCTGAATTAACGGTGGTGCACTTGCGGGAAACTCCTTGCCGAGGGCCTGTGCACCCCCGGAATTAGTCGGGGCTCGAAGAGACTCGGACACCCGGTGCAAATCAAAAAAAAGCAAGTAGGAAATTCCTTCAAAGACAAGTGGATGAAGCTACAAAGAAAGAGTCTATCTTTCCCAGTTGAATTGAATTATTGCTCCAACGCAAAAACACAAACGTCCCTCTCTTTCTAATATTTTATAGAAAGTAATTAAATAGTGCAGGAGTTTTTTATGAAGCTTCTTTTTAATGTTCTACTCCATAAGATTATTGGTATAGGACCTAGTCAACTAATAGTACATACTGTAATATTTAATGTGGTAGGAAATTATTGTGAAGCTTCTTCTTAATGATGATAGATTTTTGGTTTACGTTAGACTCTTTCAAAAACAAAAATTCAAATTGACTCACTGTTATATATATATTCTTCATTTTAGAAAAAAATGAAGGAGTTTGGAGCCTGAAAGTTAAACTTTATAATTCTCGATCTCAAATCGAACATCATTTTTAGAATAAATTTAATGCTTTTATTTTATTTTATAAAATATTAGCATACGATAAATTATCAGTTACATAAATTGTTTTGATATTTCTCTCACATTCAAAGGTTATACAAATACTTCACCCATAAATTTGATATAACTTCCACCTTAGAATTAACAACAACAATAACAAATCTAGTGTGATCCCACCAGTGAAGTCTGGGGAGGATAATGTATACGCAGACCTTCCTCCCACCTTAAAGGTAGAAATTGTTTCAAATAGATCTTTGGCTCACGGAAGACAAAGAAAAAAGCAATAACACCAAGCGATAACAACAACAATATATTAAGTGGAATAGTGATAATTTTGTCGCCAAGCCAACGGTATATATCAAATATGTTTAATCAACCTGAATATTAAAATGCAATGAAGTTTTGTATTCTTATGTAGCTCTTTTAATTACGCATCAAGTTACTATTTAAATGATTGAGATGGAAATGCAACTGTTCTTTAGATAATGTGAATGTGAAAAAAATATTTGGTTACAAGGAAGAATGAGGTCTTTATCACTTGCAATTAAGTAAAAATAAATAAATAAACTAAAACTATAAAAAAATTTAAAAATAAAGTAATGATAATTATACTCCAATATCCAACCAAACAATATGGTGTAGCGGTCGGCTGCTTTGATTAGTCTAATCAGAATGTTTAAAGCAAGTGTCTAAACACTACTCTTATTACATAAACGAAATACAAATTTAATAATGTGTTACAATAAAATCAAACATCGATAAGCACCCAAAAATATACTTAAGTAGATACGTGACATGTTCCAATATTATTGCCAATAGTAACTCTGCTTGTTTGTATAATTTTATTTAAATATAGCATTTTACAGTCAAATTTAGGAGTGTTCAAAATCGAACTGAAACCGAAAATCGAATTGAAACCGAAACTTAATGGCTTATTGGTATCGGGTTAACGGTTTAATGGACGGGGAACGGATTGAAATTTTTTCATTACCGGCTTATCGGTTTGGGGACGGATTATTCAATTTTCTTAACGGATAATCCGTTAACCCGTTAAGAATATATATCTATATTATATTAAAAGCATGAACCCTTTAGTTAAAAAGTTAAATTACTTTATTACCCCTCTTATCTTGAGATCCTATTTATGGTAATTTTTTTTATAAAAGAAACAAAACATACAAGAGTCCAAAGCCAACAGTCACAACCATTCTCTACGAGACAACAATCACTAAACGTTACACTCTCTTTTCTTTGCCTTTTCCTTTCCATTTGTCCGTTTATCTTATTCTAAATAGATTTCCTTTGTCATTTCTCCACAAAATCCAAATGTCATCAAACTTTAAATTACAAATTCTCTTTAATCAAGCAATTTGTCTTCAGATTTATATTTGGAGCGTGTCATGAGATTTATATTTAGTCTTCTGAATCGGAGTTTATCATATAAAACCAACCAATGGCTACTACAATTTGAGTTTCTCTCGAATTTTGCTATGCATATTCCTCAATTTAGTTGCTTTATTTGTTGATTCAATTGTAAATTAGCAGTGTTCGATGCTTAACAAAAATTAAAAGAGTTAGGGTACATATATGGCACTTAATAATCTAACTACTTAAAAAAGAGGATCCTACAAATTAAAGAGTCCTAGATGAACAGTCACAATCATTCCGTTTTCTATATGGCAATAGTCCCTTATAAAGTATCCACAGTACATTCTCCACGACACAATTGACAAAAGACACAAAAATAACAAAAAGTGTTCATGCAAATTAAGGAAGCACATTAAGGTGAGTCTGGTCTTATAATCTCATGAAACTATTTGGTTTCCTATGTCTCCATGTAAGTTTGATCAGTCCGTCCATTCATAAGAGAGAAAAAGACATTCGTCTTTATGGCACATTAACTGTTGCTTCTATTAAGAAGTCTAACAGTGATCCTTCTACTTTGTCTCATTGTCATAGTATACCATTTAAGTGGATTATGTTTAGTATTGCCAGTTCTTGTATGGTTTATTTTGCACTTGTCTATCTCTTCTAAATGGCAACCAAAGAAATGTAAAGGGAAGTCTTACAGAAAATTGAGAAATGTTCTGAACTTCATATTCAAAGTTTGATATTCATGAAAGATTATGAGTAATTAACCGTGAAATTCATGAGATATATGGATTTTGAATTCTTTTTATGTAGCATCAAAGGGTTCACTTGGCTATCTATTTCTCACTAGACATTGGATAAGATTCATCCACATATATGAAATGATAGTTATTAGTCGTCATTTTTTTATGAAAAAAAAATGCAATTGGGCTATTTGTAAAATAAAAGTTTTTCGTCATGGTTTTCTCAAAAAAAAAAAATATACATTTTAATGTTATATTTGTTTTCTCTAATTGTTGAAGGAATCCACGAGAAATTGACACTCTTGTTCCTTGTCCGAGAAGTGAGTACAACTTTTGAAGGTAGAGAAAATATCAAAGCCGTGAGTCAAGAAGAAAGTCATGAAATCGAGTTCTGTTTTTTTTAATTTCACATATTATTTATCATTTATTTATACATTTAGTAATGTCCTATATGATTTGTTAATGACGCCATCTATGAATAACAGGGTAGACATTTCATAAAGAGCGATGATCTACAAATTATCATATTATGCATGCTAATTATGATAAAAATTAATAGTATATGTTTAAAGGTTGTTGTTGTTATTTCTTTGTCAAAATGCAAGTTAGTTGTCTTACATATATGCTTCATTCATGATAGTCAAGTGAAGTTAAATTTTCAAGTAGTTGAATGATATGACGTGATATATTATTTGGAAGGATCATACGCCAGGTATAGAGTCTATCGAGAAGTAGGTGAGATATGCTTCATAAAATTAAATAAAAAAAATATTCGTAAATTAAATTAAATTTTTAGTTGTTTGTTTTTAGGTTCATACGATAATTACTTTGACCTTGATAAACAAGTTATTATACAATGTTTACATTGATCATTCGCAGAACCTTGTATTTTATTCTTTCGTGTATAGTAAAGTTTCATTCTTTGTTCGGTAGGCGATCAACCTATCACTTAATAGATTAAAAATATTGAAACATTTAATTAAAATATCTTTTATTGCTTTGGCGCCAATGTAAATTTTGTTTGTACTCCTTTATTAGGTTATTTGGATTACTTAATTGCGTAATTGGTAATACTTCTGTTTTACGGTAATTAAGGTTATTTAAATACGCTAACTAAAATAATAATAGCTATTGTCAGCTCAAAATATTAATTTGTTTAAAACTATTTAAGAATATTATATATTTCAAACGATATAGTTAATCATATTTAGAAAGTACAAAACATATCCTATATTATTACTATTATACTATGTTTGCTTTATCAACGTAACCACAGCAACCTAAATCAAAATGGCAACCAAAATAGAACTAACAAATTAATATGTACCTATTAACAAGGCACAAAAGTATTCATTTGATTGGATGATAAAAGTATTTTGGTTGTCATTTGATTGGTTAGATGATAAAAGTATTAGTAATTAAAAGAAATATGATACAACTATGACAAATATGTCATTATAACGTGGTACTGCTAAATTGATAAGACAAACTATTTATAGTATGAGAGGAAGCACACATGGCCAAGCGTCACACAATTGAAGTAGTTGACAGAAAATTTTGAGATATAATATATGTCAATGAGCGTTTAGTTTTGGCGGAAAGGTAATGGTCTTTGAATGATACTTTTGTAAATTACTATCTGTTTTTCAAAATCTACAAGAATTTAGAACCAGATTTGTGGTCGTTAATTTAAAAGATTCAGCTCAAAACCAATATGAGAGTAAGAGTAAATCAAAATTTCAAGTGCTTCTTACTTCTCATTGGTAACAAGGAAGAGCAAACAGTAAAAGACAATTTGGTATTTCTTCTTAAATAAATGGTTGTTAAACACAAATTGTGGTAGTAGAATAGAGGAATGCTTAATAAGACTCATAAACAAAGTGCTATATTAGCAAGCAAAAAATGAATATGTAAATCAAATAAAGGAAATGTTGATAGCAAGTTTGCGCTGAAAGAAAGACATTTATCAGTTTTGACTATGCAGAAGATTGTACAAAAAATTACTACCAAGAAAAATGCTTAAATACATTAACAACAATGATCACCCGCCACATTTAGGTACATATACTTGTGTCTGAAAATACAACAAGAAATTAGATATATTTATGTTTTCTTACATGTTAGTTTTAAAAGAAAAGGCACCCATCATGCTATCTGAAAATTTGAACCCTTCAAATGTCTTATTCAACGGTACAATGATAATTTCAAGAGGATTTAACAACGATGTCATACATGCAGAAATTACACATGTATTTAATTAAACTTTAATTGTTCATCTTTGTGGGTTCTGACGACATCATATCATCTTGACCGCAACAAATAATAGACTGCACGATAGTTTATATTGATCATTCACAGAAACTTGTACTTTATTCTTACATTGTATAATTATTTACTCAATACTTTATTTTAATGATAGGAGCATTATTTTACAAAATTATGTATTGTATGNATATAATCCAATCCAAACGCCACCAGTATCATAATCGGCCAAGCGGTACCATTGACCTTAAATTTCGCTTAACTTGCCATCATTA